ATATATCCGTCGATCGACTATCCAATCGGTTGGACCAGTCAACCATGCCTGACCCCTTGACCGAGTCACGAGTGGTTGTTTTTAAAACAATGCAGTTAGTGTGATCGTATAAATGAGGGCCAAAAAGCAATTGAGAAAAAAAGATGTATGGAGTATTTTTGCCCAAATGGTGCATAGCAGGGTGGTTCCCATCTAGAGTTCAAAAGTTTGTTAGTAGTCCGAGAGTTTTCATACAGTTCCGATAAGTTATCGGGTGTTCCCAGAGAGAGAAGAAGAGTTTAGCAGTAAATTGGCACTTGGGATAGCCCAATCCTCCTAGGCTCCTACTGAGTGGCCCTAGTAGAATTCCAAAAATTGAGGAGTATTTCTAATAATTTTCTAACAAGGTTTCCTCTAACCCAACCAGTCTCCTAATTGCACACATTTTATTTAGTGAAAAATAAATAATATAAAGGATCACTCCAGATGTGTTAATAATTAATTAGATAAAATATTAATTTAAATTCAATTTAGTATTCTTTTATAATAATATCCACAAAATCTAAATAAATTTTTAATTTTTGATAATAATAATTATTTTTTTAAATTATGCTAATGTATAAAGTGGTTTTTTGTTATGTCTAAACACAAGGAGATTATCAAACGGATATAGTTAAATCTCGATAAATTAACACTCATAAATTATAACCTGATTAAATAATATTTTCGCGCAGTCCCACTTGGGACCAATGTGGTAAATTGAAAAATTTGTAATTTATATATAAACATTAAGAAAAACACATAGATACCACTTGATATATAAATTATAATCCCTTATATATTAAATATATATATACAATACTAAATTAGAAACTTTAGTTATTCCCTATACCACATTAACTCTTGCTATAAAATAGGCTAATGATGTTATTTCCAACCTTATTCTCTATACCACATAACTATGTACACAATAGTACATAAATTAAATTAATATTTTGAAAAAGAAAATAAAGAATCTTACTAAATTATATATTTATTTATAATACGATTAATAATATATTCATTAATAAATTTCTATAGTATATCGAGGTTTAACTGTATTAAGATACACAAAATTATCATTTTAAAATATATATAAAGATATATAATAAAAGTTTGTCCAAAAGTGAGGCGTTCACAAACAAGATGTTGTGCCATGTGAAATAAATTAGGTCATCTCTCCAAAAACGACCCAAACTAATTTCTACCAACGAATTTTGAGTACAGCCCCACGCAGCTATGCACGTCAATGTTTCTAGAGGTAAATACTCAGACGCTCTTCAGCTATGCATTTTTTGATGGCATCAAGGTTTTGCGGTAAAAGGTGCTTTTAGTTTGGGTCCTAGTCAGATCGTCCAAGAATTGTCTTCAATCTTCCTTGCAAATATGTCTAAAATTTGTATAACAGTTGTACTTTCACACATTGATTCCTTTATTTGTATTGATGATTGGTTAATTTTTTGCCACCTCAGCACATATATTTCTGTTATTATTGGTCTTTGTTGGCTAAGGGACTAAGCTTGGCAATAGGAATGAAGTGGTGCAAACTTGGCATGGATTTTTTTAGAGAATCTGTTTTCACATAAGTCCACTCTGTATTAGTTCAAATTGCTTATTGGGATTTTGAGGGTTGTGAAGACACTGTAACAGTGTAGAAGGAGAGTGATTAGCAAAGGGAAACCTTTAATAGTGGAGCAGGATAGAAAGGAGAAGAGGATCGTTAAGGAGTGTTTCCTTTGAATAGCTGAAAACTTATGCAGTTGTAGATAGCTATAGTTTTTTTTGGCTCAATTTTATACTGTAATAAAGTTCAGCAATGAGTAAAGTTTGGCCATTTGGCGCATTCATGAAAGAAGAAGAAAGAAGATAAAGAATAGAATGGCATTGTCTTGGACAATACTTCTTTGGCTGTAATACGAAGAGCTGTCCTTTGGACCAATAATTTTCAGTTACAGTTAATGATTTTTTACTGTATAATGGGAATGGAGAAACATTTTTTGACATAATGCATCACTTGGGCTGTACTAAAGCAACCCCATGGAGTATTCTTTTTTTGTATCCCATTGTCATGAATAAAATGTAATTTTACCTTGACTTAGAAGCACTTAACTTCCAAAGACATATTATGGCTAGCCCCCATTCTCTTTCTTAGGCAGATTGCCTTTATGACTGACTGATATGTTTTGCATTTGCCTTACTGTGCCAAACTTGAAGACAACTAGTTCCTTTATTTGCTAAGGCCAACTTGGGTTGGTTAGGCATTTTAATATCTATTAAGTCAGTTTTGAAAATTGATGTTAACAACCAAATCTGATAGAAAGGTTTTTCCTTATGCTCAATTGATTATTAAGTTTTCAAAAAAGAATTGAATTCTATATATTTATGATTTATGCATGCCTATCATGTAAGCATCTCGGTACATGTCTATTTAATCGAATAATAAGTCAACTGTCAAAATTTCAGAGATATATATAAAAAAACTTTTTATACCTTGTGACCAAGTACATGAACACTTGTACCTCTTCGGTGGTTACATGGTTTTTACATGGGTACATGTTGACAAAGATATATTTCTTGTATCCTGCCTCATGTTACCCAACAATGGGACCCCTTAGAGTAAATATAGTGATATCTATATTTTGATGGAATTAAACCAACTTTTTTGAGAATGATAAATAAGCCCAATTAATCGGGTTATATTATAGGATAAATTTGCTTCACCTCATATCTAACCATGAGATGCTGGATTTGTACAGGCATTTTTTGCATTCTCGTTGTCATGTTCGGAAATATTATGATTTATTGATGAACTTGACATTGTATCACTGCGGCAATTTTTTGAATGTCCTTGTTTCAGAAAAAAAGTGGCTAATTATCCCCAAATCAATGGCAACAGAGAGCCCTATGAGGATGGTGGAAAGCGTGAAGCTAGAAACTGGCCCTCTTCCAAAGATTCTGCAATGTGTGTTCCCAATTGGGAATATGGTAACAGAGGAATTGGGATTGCTTTTGAAGGCACAGATTTCATGGAGACCCACACATGATTCCGAATCGAAGTGGTAGTGCACCACCAAGTTGGAAGGGTATTTGCAGCTATTGAAAACAACTCTGGTCTGAATTTAGGCTTGGAAGTTTAAGCGAGATCTTGGACATTTTGAATCTGAGGAGCAACTGGTTCTGATCCAGCCTATTTTGCGATTACTGCTCTAACGTGAACTTGAATCCACGACTTCCTCCACCTCTTATTTCACGAGAGAACGGCGCTTGGTACGCCATATTGGTGTGTCTGGAAATAATTGGAGGTCTACTGCATTAGATGATAATGGCGTGAGCCTTGCATCTGTCTGAAGTTCTCTTTCTATTCTAAAGAGAACTAGAGGATGATAGGTCTCCCAGACAACGTTCAGACAACTGGGCAGAAAACATTCCTGCATTCATGTCAGGACAGAAAACAGCTGTGTTGGGCGCACAAAAGTTTGGTTGATCTGATACAGGTAATTTTTTGGTAATTATTAAATGCTAGTGGTTGCCAGGAAAGTTCTGAACCAATTGAGGCTTGATAGGTATAAGTGGGTTTACATACAATAGAATATAAAACAATTCTCTAGGGCATTTTGTTAACTCTGTAGTTAGTATGCTATTGATTGTTTCTTGTTGAATTCTGATTTATTACAGTTTTTCGAGCATGGAAGTCCTGAGCAGATGAAGGAGCTTGCAGAGAAACTTGTTGGCCAGATGCTGACTTTAATTTTGCAGATGTATGGTTGCCGTGTGATACAAAAGGTTGGGTAAGTTTTCTTAAATACATATCTTTAAATTTAATGGTACATTGGCTTCTTCTATAGCATTTGTTTTGTGGTTATTGTGAGCCTTCAAGTGCGAGAGGTGTGAGCTGTTCATGATATTCAGCTGATTGGTGCTGGCTTTAAAAGCTTTTAGCCTTCTTTTATAGGCCCCACAGGCCTCATAAATGATTAAAGGGCGTTTAAGCCATGGTTTAGTCATTTAGAAATGTTTGACTGGAATGTGAGACAATCAACAGATACAACATCACCCTTTTTAGGAGTAGGATGGGCAATCAGAGAAAGCAAAGTAAATTCCAAAGGGAAGGCTTTCAGTGCGGAAGAAAGATACCAAATTAAATAAGAAACTTTTGCCAGGAATATTGTGGGGAGGGGGGGCGGAACTGGACTCTCTCTTTGAAGGAAGATTTGTCCTGTATATAAAGAAGAGGGATCCTTAAGGTAGTGACGGCATGGTGAGGGCTATACCCCTCATTGTGGATTCATTATAACTTATTTATCTGATTTTGTCTACTAAAGATGGTTATGCCCACAGCCAAAAACTATTTATTACCACACTTGATTTTGTGAGACAGTGAAGCTTTCTTTTTTCCCTTCCCCTGAATTGCTTGAGTCTGTCTTTCCCTCACAGTGCTACACTTAGTCTTTTGATTTTGATCAAATCTTTAATTCATCCATCTGTATAAATTGACATTTTGATTTTTCAATAAGCGGGGGAACCATGTAGCCATTTGTATGTTATATGCAAATGGTTTTGTACATTTCTCATAATGGCCTCAAAATTTGTCCAAATTTCTGAAATTATTGAAAGATGCTTTGTAGCAATAGGTTGTTACATTATAGATTTTGTAGGGTAGGCAACTTGTCCAGAATTTTGTGTGTTAGATGTAATAAAGCTATCTGAGTTTTCATCATAGCTTTGTATGTATATTCTTGCTTTTAGTTAATCTTGTCATTCCTTTTGTATTACATATTATCTTATGACCTTTTCTTTTTCTTGGTGTTTGTGTGTGTGTGGGCGGGTGGTCTTTTGAGTTCTAAGGGCGTGCAAATTTATTTTTCTCATAAAGAATGCTTCAATTTTTGCTTGAATGAGTTCCAAGTATAACCATATATTCTTCAGTTTGAAATTTTAATATCATTTTCTTTTAATCTTGATTTATTTATTTATTTATCTAGGCCCTTGAAGTCATTGAGCTTGATCAGAAAACGCAGTTAGTCCTTGAGCTTGATCAGAAAACGCAGTTAGTCCTTGAGCTTGATGGGCATGTCATGACATGTATATGTGATCAGAATGAGAATCGTGTGATACAGAGTGTATAGAATGTGTACCAACAGAAAAAAATTGGATTTTTAGTTGCCACACTTTCTACACATCCATATGGTTGTCGTGTTATTCAGGTAATAGAACTCAATTTCTTGGTTCTGCAGACTTCTTTTATTTATTTGAGATCCCATTTTGTTTGTTGAAACTATTATTTGTTTATCTTTTATTTTTTTTATTTTTCTTTTCAATAGAGAGTTTTGGAGCATTGTTCAGATGAACAACAAGGTCAATGTATAGTGGATGAAATTTTGGAATCTGCTTATGTTCTTGCTCAGGACCAGTATGGGAACTATGTTACCCGGGTAGGTATTGTGTGCTTTGTGCTGCTTACTTAATTCTTTAATTGTTGTTGGATAGCATCAACTGTCTATCAAGTGCTTAGAAACAATCAAATTCTCATAAAATGTTGTGTTTTTGCTTCTTTATTCCATCGACAAATAGTTTATTCTTGTCTATGCCTCAAACTGACTTCTTTGAACTAGTTGATTACCAAGCTTATTTGTCTTGATTAGACTTGTCATTCTCTTCAGCTTTCAGCACCAAGTTCATATACTTTGTTAAATAGTTTAGATATTGATGGCCTTCATTCAACAATGGTTTTATGATCTCACCAGTTGGTGATGTAGATGATTCTTCATTATTTGTTTGGCAGTTAGCTGTCAAGATGGTATGTATATCTAATTTCTACTAGACAGATTAATAGATGGGCTAAAAGCATCATACAAATCTAATTTTAATACCAACTTTGTTTCTTGAACAAGTATGTATTTCAGTGAGAAGTTATTTATTACTCTTCTGCTGCCTCATATGAAGAAAAACAAAATTGTATCAATGCTCAACTTATAATGCTATGGTGTGGAACCTAAGTTTTTAGCTTCCTTTAAAGTTCATGGTTGTATTCTTAATCAAGACACAAATATTGCGAATATTTAGTATAAAAAATAGAGTAATATAATTGACTTATTCCTTCTGTTCCCTGAAGTTTAAAAAGTGGTTTTTAGAAAATCCGTGGACAACGTGTAGATCAATGCCTACTTGAAGGAGTACATTAAGATTACTGCAATCTCCATAATAGCCTTAAATGTTGCTTAGATTCACTTAAGTAAACCTAAGGGCTCGGTCAAACTGATAGTAAAAAATATCTAACATTGTTCTTAACATTGTGAATGTGATTAGCTCCATTTATATGCATTGACTTTGCTTATTCCATTGCACAAAGTGAATTTTGATTTTAGGGAAGTTCAAGCCCCCTTAATTGGTATTAGACGTATGCCTATATAAGGACCTGCATATGAAGTGTCTTTTACTCACCATGATGTATATTATTCCTCTTTTCTTTTTCTTTTTTTTTTTTTATTTTATTATTTTTTTTTTTTTTTGTGAATTAGGGATTTATTGCTTTTTGGGTTTTGCTTCGTGCATTTTTTTCTTCTCTGATGTTGGAATGAGAATTTCATGCCCCTTGCAAAAGGAGTTTTTCCATAGCTTTTATTCCTACTTCCATATGTGGTATTATTTTGTTTCCTAGTGACAAAGATGAAGGAAAAGGATTTCTCTTCTTGTAAACTAAGGCTAAAGCACCCTGTAGAAAGTCTGCCTGTAGTCATCTCCCTTTAGTATATGTAGTCCTTGACCTATGAGTAGTATGAATTCTGATGTTACATTGATTAGCTTGCCTTGTGATTTAGGTGCATGTTTGCAATATTATGCTTTCATCTTTAGTGCTTTGTGAGGTTTCTGTTTTTAGTTGGTCGAAGTCATTGTTTGTCTGAGCTTTTTACTGCCTAAAATTACCCACCTTTTCTGTTTTATTTGTAAGATCGTTCTGATCTCTCTGATGGTTTTATCATATTAACTCTGTGATGGTTTTATCAACTTTAATATGAATTGGTTATACTGCTGACCGCATGTTCTGGAGAGGGGAAAATCCAATGAAAGAAGCCAAATTATCAGCAAGTTGGCTGGAAAAATTGTGCATCAAATGTTGTTGAGAAGTGTTTGGAGTATGGTAATGCTGCAGAGTGGGAGCTTTTGATTGAGGAGATTGTTGGGCAATCTGAAGAAAATGGCAATTTATTGGTGAGACAAATTGAAATCGTAATTTACAAATTCTACAATTATCATTTCTACTTCATTAGCCTTTTTTGAGGTGATGTCTTTTTTTCTCTTTGCTGACTCTTGAGGTCTTGAATTTCCATGTATCAGATAATGATGAAGGATCAATTTGCTATGTGGTAGTATTGATCAATTGCATAAAGGTTCATTGTCAAACTCTGAAAAAATACACTTATGGGAAGCACATAGTTGCTTGGTTTGAGCAACTTTATGGTGAAGGTACATAAATCTCCTGTTATGTTATGTTATTTTTCATGTTTATATGCTTGGGAATGATTGTTTGCTCATGCAAGCATACCATGCATGGCTAATTGAAAGAAGCAAAAATCTCTATGGGACAAAATATTGGCATTTAGATAGATCATTTTGGAGGAACACTGTTAGTTTTCTAAGAAATGGCCTTAGTCTTCGTCAATTCATCAACTTTTTTCTTTTCTTTTCGTTTTTGTATTTTCTGTTCAACTTACATAATCGACAGACTTCTATCATACATTCTTTTATCAAGATTTAAATCTACAATTCACTACAGCCGTTAATGGATACTATTGTTGACAATCATCAACACATTGCCATTTCTATGATATCACCAGGGTCACATGCATTTGATATCATTATGTATATGTAACTTCAAAAATAGACACTGCACACTTTATCATGGACATTTACAGAAGGTCCATGCGTACTAGCGTGGATTTGTGTATACAATTTTATTACTTCATCCTTTATCCTCTGTTGCATCATGATAATTCTTCAACCAGAGTATTTTGTCCATTCCTGAATTTATGTGACAAATTTTAATTAAACCTCACTCAGACATTTGGTCACACTGCTGACCATCCTAGTTACAAAATTCATCAAAAACCCCCTTAATAATACCAAGATCATCATAGATATTCTTGAAATCATGAGAAGACTTCCCTTGAAGCTTACTAATTTTTATCACAAACCTCCTTGTAAGAGAAGTGTGTATTTCAGTTGGACGCCGTAATTAGCCAAGTTTCGAGTTGGATGAAATTTTATCCTTTAAGATAATGTTTCTTTGGGGGTGCCACATTGTTGTCATTGCTTGGATTTGATGTACTAAATAAGATTGTTAAAGAAGTATCTTTTGCTAATGTAATTTTTGTTGAAAAAGATTAAGAAAGTACATGGCGTGTTCGATTTTATGCATGCATGTATGTGATATTTTGTTATTGATGCTTGTTCCTTGATATAATCACAATAATGTTAAAAAGAATGTTGATGTTGATCTCTCATGTGCAGAAAGCCAAGCCTCAGAAACTTCGGATGGATAGAATGGGGTAGCATTTTCATTGGAAATTCTGGAGGATTCGGTGGCAAATCCCAGTTAATTGTTTGGAAAAGTATGCCACTTTAGTATCTGATTCTAATACTTGCCAGTTTGATAAAAGCTAATTAAGTAAATATATGTGCTATATAAAATATGTATGTTCGAACTGTGTATAAATAATAATGGTGATGTATTGCTTGATTAACTTTTTCTATTTTCATATTTGAAGAGAGGGCTTTCTTAGACTGCCCATACCAATTTTTATATTAATAGCATTTGAAGTTTATTTTCAAATTCCCTATTTCTTTAATGGAGTTGTTTTTATAATATCTTTTGATAAAACTATACACTTTTTCCGCCCAATTGGAGAAAGCCAAGTAACAATGCAGGATGGGGCAATATCTTTTTTGTAATAACTGTAATATACATTGATTTAATTTCTATTTCTTGAGATTAATTTTTTATAACTTAAAGAAAAATATTACTAAGTTTCTAAAGTAAACAGAAAAAAAAAAAAAAATACCCTTGAAAGTGAAACAAATTAAGCCAATAACCTTCAACATATAAACCCCATATAGTTGTAACATATGATCCAACAAAACTCCAACATATCTATGTCAATAGTAGATTCATTATCATCTCTTCTTCAATGGATGCTAGAGTGGTGGTATTGGGGCATTAGTGCAACTCTTTATAATTAATTGAGCCAGGATAAGGATTACCTTCGTAGCGCTTTCATTAAATCCAAACTGAGCTTGATAGGAATGAATCTAGATAGGTTTTGTATTGCCACATTGATGAGACCTCCAAATTATATAATTGAATTAATTGGGAGATTTTGGCCCTGACTTATTGTGGGAAGGTCTAGGCTCTCTATCTCTTTCAAATGGGAAAACTCTTTGATATAGATCTGATAACAAATTGTAAAGACAATTACTACAAGATTCCTTGGAGGTCTCCAATTTTTTGACGGGATTTCACCAGTTAATTCATTTTTTGACAAATCCAATCAGTAACCTTCCAGATATAACCCTTGTAGACTCAAATCTATTTTTCATTGTAAATTCTACTCGAAGATTACTTTTGGATTTGATGATCCACCGAATCTTTCCTCCTTTGTAAATGAAATAGATGAATCATAGGTAAACCCTAGTGCATCACTAGCCAAATCCTCAGAAATCTCCAAAGCGAAATCTTCCCAACAATCTCTTTAACCATACTCCAAAGTTTCAAATTAGTAAAGCATGAAGGTATTTATCCATTGATCTGTTATTTGACATATTGGTTAGGCATATGCCTTGTAGGTGATTGCCTGACAAAAAGAAAAATGAAAAGCTGAACGTACATTATATGGTGTGATAACCTTGGTATAGAATCTTTTGCTGCGAATCATTTAGAATGGTATTGGTAACTTCTATTCCAACTGCTATCGACACTTTAGTACCTTTTGGCACTTACATTCTAATCTTCTTCAGAAAAATATTTTCTTCTGCTACAGATCAAGCTACGATTCCCTTGTCACAATCTAGTTGTAAATTCTATAGCTTCTTCAAAACTTTTACTGTAGATTTTCCTGCTATTCAGTTGGAAGTGGTAATTCCTATAAGCAAAAAGAAGTCTCACATGCTGAGCAAAATCATATTCCATGATCACCAAGTCTAAGACTTAGGCTCAAGCTTTCTTTCCTCTCTGCTTATTCATGCTGAGCCAAAATCATACAGAAGTGGAAAGCTTCCATGGACTCGGAATATCAGCTTTACTCAGATATCAAACTTGGAGTTACTTATTCACCTAAAATGACATGGTGGAAATAAATGGGTGTTCAAAGCTTAATTGAATGCAGATGGCACTCATCGGAGATACAAAGCAGCATTAATGGCCAAGGTTTTCAACAACACCAGTTTGGATTATTTTGAGACTTGTTGAGATTTGTTGACTTTATATGACTTAGATCCAATCTAATTTAATTCCAATTTGTTTCCTGACCAAGTATGTATTTCAGTGAGAAAGTTATTTATTACTCTCTGCTGCCTCATAGAAAAACAAATTGTATATGGTTCAGCTTAAAATGTAATTATGGAACCTAAGTTTTTAGCTTCCTTTAAATTCATGTTGTGTTCTATCAAGACACGAATATTGCGAATGTTGAGTATAAAAAAATAGAGTAATATAATTGACTTATTCTTCTGTTTCCGTAAAGATTACTACAATCTCCCATATAAGAGCCTTAAATGTTGCTTTAATTCCTTAAGTAAACCTAAGGGCTCGGTCAAACTGATAGTAAAAATATCTAACATTGTTCTTAACATCGTGAATGTGATTAGCTCCCATTTATATGCATCGACTTTGCTTATCCATTGCATAAAGTAATTTTGATTTTAGGGAAGTTCAAGCCCCCTTATTGGTATTAGACGTATGCCTGTATGAAAGGTTTTTGCTATTTCAAGAAAACAAGAATGAAAAGAAGAACACGCAACAGTGAAATGGGTGAAAAGCCGTTAACTCAATTAAACACCCAACTGTTTTTATACAGCAGCAACAATCTAAAACGCACCGTATTGGTAACACATTGACAAATTACAAAACTAACCCTCACATCTATTCAAACAAAATTTTCAAGTCTTAGTCTAATATCCCCACTTAAGCTCAACTTGGTCTAATATCCTCTGTTAAACTGAATCTTCTTTCTGTTCCTTAGTTCAATACCACCTGAAAAACCAAACTCGATTCCACAGTAGCTTTGAGCACTATTCATTTTTTACACCACATTCTTCAGTTTGCAGAACTAACTTTAATCTATAAATCACCTTACTATGAGTAGTAGTAAGCAAACCACCATCTGCACAGCATTTTAGCCTCATGGCCAAGACACCATTAGCAGCAGCAAATAGCATATGAAGCAATAACATGCACCAATTTCCATCATGGCCAAGACACCATTAGCAGTAGCAAATAGCATATGAAGCAATAACATTCACCAATTTCCATCATGGCCAAGACACCATTAGCAGTAGCAAATAGCATATGAAGCAATAACATTCACCAATTTCCACACAAGATCAGTACCAGTGGTAAGAAAAGCATCACCACAGTATTCATCACCTTATCACACCATGTTGAGCAACATCAAACATATCAATCAATTTAGAGTAGAAAACAGTACCAAATCAGTTCAAGTGAGGAACATCCTAGATTAGTAACAACACTAATGAGCAGAAACTAGTAAACAGTACTAATCAGCTCAGATCAGTAAACAACACCAAGAAGCTCAGACCAATACTTTGTCAAGTAAAATGGCAGATACATTGACCTTTTCTTGCAACATAGCAAATTTTTACTTGCAACAAGCTCTCTAATATAATGTACGTCTATTTCGATATGTTTAGTGCGGGCATGAAAAAGGGGATTGGATGATAAAGCTCCAACACTCATATTATCACACCATATAATAGGGACATGTGGAAGATCAATACCAAGCTCGTTAAAAAGATGTTGAATCCATAAAACTTCAGTAGCTACTTGACTTAATGCCCTATATTCATCTTCAGTAGATGACAGGGAAACTACCTTCTGCTTCTTTAAACTCCACTACACCAAAGTATCACCAAGAAACACAGCATATCCACTGGTTGATCTGCGGTCATTAATGTCACTAGCCCGATCGGTCGGCATCAGCATAGGCTTCTAAATGAAGAAACTTATGTTGTTTAAACACCAAGCCATATTGTAAAGTGTCTTTAATTAATATACCGCAAGACTCTCTTACAAGCAGTCCAATGGAGGACAATAGGATTTTGTAAAAATTGACTCAATTTATTGACTGTAAAAGCCATATGTGGTCTGGATAAGGTAACGTACTGTAAGCCACCAACAATGCTTCTATATAAAGTTGGTTGATCAAACAAATCACCAGTTTCTTTCCCAAGTTTTGTACCAATGGCCATAGAAGTAACAAATGGTTTAGAATCTGCCATTTTTGCTATTTCTAACAAGTCATATGCATACTTTGTTTGAGTAAGAAGGAGGCCTAAATCATTTCTATTAACTTCAAACCTGAGAAAGTAACTTATTACACCNAACTCCACTACACCAAAGTATCACCAAGAAACACAGCATATCCACTGGTTGATCTGCGGTCATTAATGTCACTAGCCCGATCGGTCGGCATCAGCATAGGCTTCTAAATGAAGAAACTTATGTTGTTTAAACACCAAGCCATATTGTAAAGTGTCTTTAATTAATATACCGCAAGACTCTCTTACAAGCAGTCCAATGGATAATAGTAGGATTTTGTAAAAATTGACTCAATTTATTGACTGTAAAAGCCATATGTGGTCTGGATAAGGTAAGGTACTGTAAGCCACCAACAATGCTTCTATATAAAGTTGGTTGATCAAACAAATCACTAGTTTCTTTCCCAAGTTTTGTACCAATGGCCATAGGAGTAACAAATGGTTTAGAATCTGCCATTTTTGCTATTTCTAACAAGTCATATGCATACTTTGTTTGAGTAAGAAGGAGGCCTAAATCATTTCTCTTAACTTCAAACTTGAGAAAGTAACTTATTACACCTATTGTTTTGAGAGCAAATTGGCTATTCAAATCCTTGATTACTTGGTCTATAAGCTGAGAATTATTGCCAGTAACTAGAATCTCATTGACATACACTAGTAAATAAACAACTTGAGAATCATTCTTATAGTAAAATAAACTCGCATCAGAAGTGAATTAAGAAAAGAGTAATACTAGCCTTACAAAGAGGCATACAAAGAGACAAATCCAGCCCTTAAAATTCATGATTGCCTCTCTCTCTCTCTCTCTCTCTCTCTCTCTTTCCCTTCTTTTAAGGGTTGGATTTGTCTCTTTGTATACTTCTTTGTATGCCTCTTTGTAAGGCTAGTATTACTCTTAAGAAAACCCCAGGTGAGTTAAGTAGTCCTTAGTTTATCAAACCAAGCTCTTAGAGCTTGTTTGAGTCTATATATGGCTTTACTAAGCTTGCAA